GCCAACTTTCATGACTCTTGCATGGATACCAAATGAAAAATGTTCCACTGAAATAGACTAAAAAATCCAAGATGGCGGCTGTTTTTACCCGTTTCCATGGCAACCAAAGCATTTTTCTAACATTGAAATGTATCACATGTGAAGAAAACCTCAGTGAAGTATGGTTATCACAAGTAAGTAGATGGGAAGTAACCCGTCTAGCTTTCAGTTTTCACTGTAGACCTTCACCTTAATAACCTTTTCTTAATGAAATAATAGGAACTTTGATACATTTAGTACCACCTGCAATGGTAGCAATTTGGGAAGACAGCGCATCAAAAAAATAAACAAGTTGATCAGAAAGCCACCAAGGACAATTGGTAGAGACCTAAGTAACTTCGAATATCTGCACAAAACAAATGTTCTAAAAAAGGTGGAAATAATGCTATGTGACCATTGCCACCCACTGACATCGGAATTTCTATTATCAATCTGCAGTAAACGATACATTTCCAAAAAAGCAAGAACAGACAGATATAGAAATTCATCCGAACCAATTGCAGTGAGGTTAGTTTTAGTTTTAGCATGTGTTTTACGGCACTTGCAACACAATAAGGTCATGTAAGTGCTTAAAATTAGAGGTGTTCCAAGAGATTAACAAACACAAACAAGAAGGAGGGTAGATAAAGACGATAGATGTTTGATAGGAAAGAAGAAGCAAACCACACAAGAGCACCCGCCAACCACCCACGCAGTGAGGTTACTGAACACACGAGAGAGAGAGAAAATATTTTACAGAGCGGATTGTTTCAGCATGTGAGACACGTATTCACTAATGTCCTGTCTTGTTGTGCGTATGCGCAAGTGCACCTAACCTTTGTAACATCCACCGTCATTGTAAACGACCAAAACTAATTTCTCCTTGTGAGATGAATAAAGACTGTCATTGTCAATCGAAAACAAACAAAAACCTCATAGATTCCACAGTGAAAACACATAAAACGTGTAACATTGGCTCATTGGCGGAACATTGAACACTCTTTGAAATTCAGAAAAGTTCTGATCTTATTCTTCTTTGCATTCCCCTGCTCAGTCTCAAGGGTAGTTAACTGTTGGTTCTTCGACTTGCCATGCAACTATTACTGATTTTTATGTATGTGACCATTTGTCTTACTTTGAAGGGCCCCTTGCCTTCAGGC